AATGTTGTTTTATGTAACTCTAACAGCTGGATATTTGGCACAACACTACTGTGACCGAAACAACATTGAATGAGGGTGTGGCAGGGATTGTCATATATATACTTATAAAATGAATTTAGGGGAACATTACAAGGTTCAGTCGTGTTCTACTTGTGTTTTTGGCCAAGATTGTGTGGTAATTCCAAATAAACGTGATGTCTCTATACGGATATATAAAAAACGTACATTTCTAGCATACAATCAAACAAAGAACCAATAATTAACACCTACAAAATTATGTACAAAAAATCATTTCGACTGAAGAATTCAATTTGGCTTTGCTTTCACGAAATCGAATGTTCACGAATTTAAATGTTTGAGAAATTAAAGTGCTACAATCTACTTAAAGTGGCGCAATGCATGCCTAGTTATGCTCTTCTCTTTTAATAGACATTGTTGTAAATCCATTGTATTTTGAAACTAAAGATATATGGATCAATAAAATCATCATCATCGTAATCAAAACCACATTGACAAGTGTCTTTTATGTCTACTTTTCTGTATCTCTGGACGTATATGAGAATTGTTTAGTGTCAGTTTCTACTATTGCAATGCTAAACCACCTCCGCCGAGAACAGCAGTTTAGCACTCGTGATATCCAGTATCAACATCGCTATTAACTAACAAATTTAAATTAGTTTAAATTTCCTCCAGTTGTAACATTGAAACATTGATGATCCTTACTGTACCTTTGGTAAACACTAATGGAGTTATCCAGTATAAATGAAGTTTGTCTAGCTTAGTGTCTTACATTACATGCACTGGACCTCGACAACAAACAGCTTAATCACTGACAAATGGAGGTAAATTCGATATCACGAACGTTGATCATGAATCAAGAAGTAGATTTTGTAAGAATGACAGTGGAAGCGAGAAATGACAAACACAAGATCTAAATAAATAATACCCACTATAGGATAAATAAATCGAGTCTAGTTTAGGTTTCGTCCTGTAATTAAAATGGATCACTAGGCCTCTGTGAATAAATTTAGTTTCAATTTTATTGAATTTAGTAGCTTATGTGCTGCCGTGGTTGCGCTTAAGGCTCAGAAATAGTGTTTATGTAGAAAGTATTATAGATTTTAATTGATGAGGATATATATGACAATAGCTATGAACATGCCCGCACAAATTTGATCTAGACATTTTTCTGCAACACATGGTTCGCTGCAATATCCACGTTTGACTCGCATGCTTTGGGTGCCTCACGTTCATAGCTCGGTATTTGACTCACACTTGTGACTATGGAATATAAAAAAATTCAGTGGAATTCAGTTCTTTGTGGTGAAGATTGCGGTTGGTAATTGTATAGCAACTGTATCCAAAACACACCTGATGTGTGATTAATTCCTTCTCCAATAACACCTATTTTTAGCCCACGTTAATCACTGCGCAAACAACAGCATTTCAGTCTGACTATCGATTTGGCCAATTATCATTATCTGTTATTAAGTCGTTATCGTTCGGATTGGAAATACAATTACATATAACTAGGCCTACTAGAGACGCCTATGTTTGTCTTATCGAGTCATCGATTCTTTTTTGGCATGAATCATTCTTTGAATCAATTCGTGATATCGTCCTGACGTTTTTGCATTAGCAGATATCGTTGTTACCATGAGTTAGGATCGTGTTCACCCAGCATGAGCTCCACCTTTGAATTTATCATATGAATAAAATTTTAAACACGTCCGAATTTATTTATACAATAATTAAAATAAAGCGCATGTTGAACTCCAACCATAATCTAACCCCGACACAAACCTCTAATTCTAATCTAATCTTAATGGACCTTTAACCTTAAAACTAAAATTTTGATCTAGACAAGTCTAGACAGAAATTTCATCACAGCTTGAAAGAGCATCACAAAATTACTAATATTCCGAAGTTTCGTTGCGAAATGTTTTAAAATGCGGATAATATAGCCCTGCGAAATTTGCAATTTTCAGTAATTTTGTATTACAAACGGGAAATTGATACCCCAACACCCGGTTGGGGTATCAATTTCCCGTTTGTAATACAAAATTACTGAAAAACGGCAAACTTCGCAGGGCTATATTATCCGCATTTTACAACATTTCGTAACGAAACTTTGGAATATTACTAATGTTGTGATGCTCCTTCAAGCTGTGATGAAATTTTTGTCTAGATCTAAATTTTAGTTATAAGGTTAAAGGTCCATTGCCCGAATTTTTCAGATTTAATAATGCCCGAAATTTCCAGTGAAGCTCTGATCCCGTTCATTGATAAAAAATGTTATCGCTTACATATGTCTCAGAATTACTTTAGATTTGTAACCCATTTAATTATTTTACCTCTCACTTTCCAGCCACCAACTGCAACAGTCTTTCTTGTGGAGAAGATGAGGAGTGTATTCAAGTGAACAATACCTTCAAGTGCGAAATGGGTAAGAATGAAGTTTCAGTTTTGTGTAAAATTTCCACATTAGCATAATGAAGAAAGCCGGGTCAACGTTTTTCCAAATTTCCAGAGAAACCAAACTATTACTTATTATAGTGTCCACTCATCCAGGCTCTATTACAAAATCCAGCATTCTGATTGGCCACTCAACCACACCATTACGTAACGGACAACGGTTGAGAAAAAAATGACGGGGAACTTTTGTTTTGCAAAGAACGTGATTTATTTTCCAATTTATATCATTGATTTAGCGATAATTGGATTGCTTTGCGTGCATTATATGCGACATTCTAACGTAAACTAGTACAACAAGTCGAGAAACCTTATCATTTACAATTAGAAAACACCTTAATTTTTGGACTTTTTTGAAAGTCCTCCTCCCGTACACTTTAAAAACAGGTGTATTTAGTTACACATCAAGGTGTGTTTAATTACACACCTAGTTGTGTTTAATTAATTGCACGCCAAAGTATCAGCAATTTTCGCACAATGTTAGCAAACACACGATGTTGTGTTAGAAAAGACAACATCTAAGTGTGCTAAGAAACACACCTCGAGACATACACCTGTATTTTTTACAAACCGTTTCTTACACACCTTTAATTTAATTAATAACTCCTTGTCGACAAGTAGTTTCGCATTATATTACAATTCAATTTTTCAAATGTAAATATCGCGGTGAGTATTTACCCCCCTTTAAAACAAAACCCACCATTGTAATCCTCACAAAATAACCTTTCGAACGGGGGGTCAAGTGCTGTCGAACATTATACAAACCGAAACAATATATAGTTATACTCACCGCTTCGCCAAACATTCAAACGCTAAAAAGAGAAAAAGTTGAATATCTTCTAAACTTTTCGTCATTTTCTGAAGGGCTATATGTGCAAAATACTCTTTGTATTCAAGCGCTTTAGTGTAGAAAGTTTCGTATGAATACGACGAGTAGAAATATTTATTTTGAATTTTTAAAGTATCGGGTTTTACTCGCACGCGCTTGTATTACGTAATACTTGGCCAATAAGGAGCTCCCTTTAGCCGGGATGACGTCAAACTCACGCGTATGGGTGCACTTTGACCTGTAGAGTCCATTTCTGGCATTTCCAGAGTCACGCGATACAAGCGTGGCATTGTTTTGACGAGTTTTCGTCGTATTTCCGGTTGGGATTATCGCAAATTCGGAGCAAAAATGTAAAATTCGGCACTAAAAGTCACCCTTTAAGGATAGAAGCTTGGAAATAACGTTATACATGGCATTTAAATAATTAATTCATCAAGAATATTGCAATGAGCATACGTTTCAAGGGGCCAAAGTTATATTCGGCGTAAGGTATGTTTATGTTTTTATAATTTGTTTGTAAAATGCGTAATTTGATCGTATTCGATCTCACTTTACTTTTAAAGCTCATAAATCGTTATAATGTTGCCAATGATTAAAACTATTGCTACGAGTGAGGAGATCTAGTCACACTGAATCGAATGGTGGTATTTTTGTCCTCATAGCATTCAATGAACCGAAGATATTAAATCGGCAAAGCGTATTGCTTACAAGCATTGCGGTAATAGGGTCATGTCGATAAAGAGTTTTCAATAACACACCTTTTTGATGAAAACACAGCTTGGTGTGTTCATCAACTCACCTCCTACTAATTCATAAAAGAACCATCTTGGTGTGTTAGAGAACACACCCTTTCTTTTTGGAAGGATATTTCCTTCCAAAACTTCGAAATGGAAGCGCTGAGTCATGTCCAGCGAACTCTATAAAATATATACTGGAACGACAACTTGGTCTTGATTTTTGAAGCCAAGATGGCGGAAATTTAAGCTCGTCTTGTACAGTAGGTACAATCCAGGCCCCTACGCGCGGATATTCATTAAATTCAGTAAGAAAAAACCAGCCTTGTTTGAAGTAAAAGTTTCATATTTTTCATGCAATTGTTTGTTAAGTCGAGTATTACTATGCTCCTAAGTATAAGTGGTCTTTCAGAATAAGTAAATTTTAGAAATACTTTGTCATAAATAGCAAAGTTATCTCATGAGTGAAAAACAAGTTCCGAAAAATCTGCTGAAAAACATCAGCACATTTCTGGTTTTTTTCCGTGAAAAGAAAACAAAATAATATGGACTGCATTTGCATCAATCTACCCTTTTTGTTTAGTTTTTGGCTTTTGCGTAAGTTTTTCGTGCAAAACTCATCTAATCATCTAATCATCATCAAAACTAATCATTTTTCAGCTCCCGCGAAGACCACGCAAAAAACATGCGTGTTTTTATAGCAACAAGAGAACATTATAGGACAGTTTACCTTCTATTTATATTCTAATATTAATATACACGAAAACATTTCTCAATTTTGATTGGCTAAGAGCAGTGCAATTTTTTCGAAATACAGTGCCAAAAAATGAAATACAGTGCAAATTTCATTGACTATTTAGGCTTTCTGATTGGCTTACAATATGAAACAATAACAAAGATAGCCAATAAGATACAGCAATTTTTAGCAGAAATAATAAAAACCCCAAACATTTAGGAGTTTTTAGGAGTGATTGCATAATTTTTTCATGTATATTATTAATAAGTAATAGTGTGGTTTCTCGTGCAAAACACTCGTGAGTTTTTAAATAGTCTTTGATAGTCTTTGAAAAATTCACTCGTGCACGTTTTTTCCAAATTGCACTCGAAACCATACTATTACCTACACCAACCTATTTTCAAAAAGCTACTCGAACAGTCAGACAGAAATTTATAAGACTTATAAATAAATTAACTTTTCCTAATCAATTTTAATAGCTTGTAGAAAAAAAGCTGCAGTTATCCATGGGCGTACGGGCCTAATCTTGTTTGGGAAGGGGCACAGTATTGGTTTGCCCGACTGCTTTACATTATGTTACACAGTATACCCATATACAACTTTGTCTATTTTGTCAGGACCTTTTTTAAGAATTTTCCAGTTGGGGGAGTGCATTTTTGGAAATGGGAGATAGTACATTAGTGGAGGATACCACGCACCTTTCTGTAAGATAGTACGTTAGTGGAGGATATCACGCATGAATCCCTGGGGGGAATCCCCAGAAAAATTTTGAAATTTGTTATTCTTCGCTGGTTTGTTTGTATAAATTTAGGAAAAAGGGACTTTTCCTGGGGGGGGGGGACGTCCCTTTATTAAAAAGGCCCTGGATTTTGTATGTGCTTTTATAAACAAATGAGTATGATTTTGTAAAGACTGCTTTAGCACAAGTTTAACAGAAATGTCTAGAAACACTAAGACAAAAACTAAGAACAATGTTCAATGTTCTGTAATCTTCATAATCTTTGCCATAAGCCATCATCATTCATATACAGGTGTACTTCATATATGACAAAGTATTAATTAATATTATATTTAATTATTTATTGTAGACTACTAGACTATACGGTTTTTCTTATCAACTTTGATGAGAGTTATATGTTTTGCCCGAATGACATATGGATTCTGCTCAATTGCCCGACCTTAAGTTTTTTTTTGGGTGGGCGGGGGGCTGTGCCCCCTGTTAAAGCTGGATTACAGTCCATTCAGCGCATGTCTCAAATGTGTACACATTTTCAGAGGCTTTCCACCTACAGCAAAGTTTATGGAGAAATTTAAATTTCACACAACAACAACAACAATCTAATTATAGCTGTGATCACTATGAAATATATCAACAACAATAGTATAATCTAATTAGCACCAACCAATCAAATGACAGATTAAAAAATCTTTTGTCTCATAGACCAATCAGATTTGCAACCGAAATACGGTTGTAAGGGATGGACTTTTGTTAAGGTTTGTATCATGCAGGCCTATTTATTTATTTATTTGTAGGCCTGATTGCAGGTTAATTTAGATGCAAAGGACATGTCTGTCATCCAAAGGGGGAGTAAAATCTACTTCTGATAATAGTAAAATGTACTAGGACATCTGTTGGGGTAGAGGGGTTAACTTCCAATTTCCTTTGTATGCCACGCTTGACGTTTTCATGGCTGGGTGAGTTGTTTTAGATTAAAATGTCAATGTACGTTTTGCATGGCACCTTACATATTGAGGTGACCTTAACTGGAAACAGTTAAAGTCCTTAGTTTGCTGGTTCAAATTTATGAATACTTTAATAGCTACACCACCTTAATAAAATATGCAACAACCATTTGGGCTACATATTTCATATTATCTTTAGAGACACCATGGGAAGGGTGCATGTGGATGTTTTCTGGAGTTACCCAATTCACCCTGAGCCCAACTTTCAGCACTTTTTAAATGTTATCTTGGCAAACAACTTTACTTGTCAAGGGGAAAATGTTGGATATACAAATGGAGATGAGTGTATATTGGTATTCAATGTACTTATGCACCTTTTGTACCCTTTTATAGTTAACCCATTGAGCAACATTGTTCCAAATGTTATTTTAGACTGTCTAATGCCTGACAGTTTTACTAATTTACTCATCAAGAAAAAGTTCTTGTACCCTAATGGGCTATTTTACTTTGTGAAATGCCAGATGATTGTACACCTCAAGAGTGGTATCCTACTTGCTAATGTCCTTGATAACCCATTAAGCTGCAATATGCACCCAAATGCACCTGACTTTATTATTTTACTCTGTCAAACGCTGGACAATTTTAGTGATCTTGAAGATAGTCTTGCATGCTAGTGGTTTAAATGACCTAATTACATATGTTATATATAAAGCTGTCATATTCTCCTATAAAATGTATATTTTTACTTGTCTTGCCTTTTACTTGTCTTGCCATAGGTGGCCATAGGCTTGTACTTTGGATACATGTAGTGGATTACCTGTAAACGTGGTTAAACATGCCTGCAGGTCTCAAAGGTTGAGGTTTCGGGAAAAAAATAAAAGAAGTAATGCAAAGATGGAATGATCTGCGGGACTCAAGTTATTTACAGTGTTTCGTATCACATGTATATTCAGATCATGGAAGACTTAGGGTTGTAGTATTTTCACAATTGCATGGCTATAAAGTATCAATGACACAATTAATATAATATTGCATTACTCTAATTACTTAATGATACATGTATAATACAAATAACTAACCTACTCGGGTTAATAATATAATTAACCTACTGGGTTTAATAATAATTAACCTACTCGGGTTTATAGGTTAATAATTAACCTATTAATACAACACACCCTAATTTGTCATGATCACTTTGGTTTAACATTACAAAGCCAAAAGCATTGCACATTGTCATTGATAATTTAATGTTGAATTACTGTAGTTATATACTAGTGTATCATGTGTATAAAAATTACAAGATTTTGTTTCAAGTAATAGTTGGAAGGTTTTATAGATGGAAATTATTGAGTGGAATTTCTATTGTTTATTTATATATTTATTAGACTTAGCCAGGAACAGCTGTTAAAAATGCAACTATGGGTCCCTGATAAGATCGAACCTGCGGCCCTGAGATTCCAGTGCAGCACTTTAACCAACTGAGCTACAGAGTCCATTTGTCGAGCTCTAACCACAAGTTCATGTATAAATATACTATGGTACTGCCATGTCAGTGCCCTACATGGCAGTGTCCTACATGGCAGTGCCCTAGTACATAAACGTGAACTTGTGGTTAGAACTTGACAACTTGTACTGCAGCTCAAAGTTTTGACAGGGATATGGAGGTAATTGATTTAATTGCTTACTACAGCTGTAATATGAATGTTTAACTTTTTCTACGTTTTTCGAAATGACAGAACTAAAAGTTAAACATTGTTGAGTGAATATGTGAATTTGTTTTATTACTACAATTCATATTAATTAACTAAATACGTGAACCACACAGTCTACAGGTCACAGCACTGCCGTGTTATACAGCATATTTTGTTAATGTGTTATATAACACACCTTACAGTGTGCTATAAACATGACAGACCTCAATGGCTTGTTATAAAGCATCCCTTTAGGTGTGTAAGGTGTGTTAAAATGTAGCCGAAAACACACGTTTTGGTCTGTTTTAAAACACACCTAGAGGTGTGTTTTACACACTTAGACAGGAATACAGGTTTGTTTAACACACCCTGGGATCTCATTTTTACACCATAACAAACATCTAAGATGTGTTAAACACACCTATAGGTGTGTTTCAATACACACCAAAAAGTGTGTTAAATTTTGGACAAAAAGGTGTGTAAAGTTAACGCACCGTTTTTAGAGTGTATATAAATGTATCGCCAGGTTGTTTGCCAAAAGTGAACAAAAAAGGCCGCAGGCGAAACATGCGAACATTGAAAGAAATCGTATAAACCGGTGCATTGTCTATGAAGAATATTCAACTCAGAATACATTGATTATTCACTAATATACATTTCATCCTCGTTTTCTACTTGTTAAATATACACACTCAGCTTTAAAGGTTGAACTTTGAACTATTTATTATTTCATTACTCTCTTTTTTTTTACAAAATCAAACAGTCAATGCGACATGTCAAGCAAGAGGTGATCCACATTACTCGACATTTGATGGAACACTTTATGACTTTATGGGAAGATGTGAATATGTTCTTGCTAAAGACAGTGTAAATAACACATTTGAAGTAAGACAAGTGAATGAACCATGTGGAAATGGAAAATTTTCATGCACAAAATCACTGACAGTGATTTTCCCAAATGTAACTATCCAACTACTGCGGGGAAGTGTGGTGGTAAATGACTCAGAAGTTTATTTGCCTGTATCGTATGAAGGTAAATTTCTTTGATTAAACTTCATAACATATATATGCTTTAAGATTTGACATTTCAGTTATAAATTTCGAGCTAAGTATATCTAGCCAATTCAACGGCATATCCTTTAGTTTCTAAGAGCTTTTATTTTAAAAAAGGAATTTAATTATAGTGTGTGTTTGGAATGGCTTCACCTTATATGCATGCAACAAGATAATATCTTATCAAAGTTGTGTCCCTTATTCCTGTTAATCCTCATGATTGCGATAAAGATTTGCTTGAAAAGTTAAATTTTTTGAAATAAGCATTGAAAAAACAGTGGCCATGCAGTGCTACATGTTTTGATTGAAATGTTCAGCATATTTTCAGCAACTTTTCCAAAAGTATACGTTCAATTATAAGTACTACAAATTTTAAAAATACATTAAACATCAGTTTAAGCATGATTTCTGGGCTTAATGTGTCCAAAAGCATTTTTCAAGCATGTTCGGTTCTTATTGTAAAACGATCGGAACATACAAAAAATTAATCAGTATACAGTACCTTCTTTATCTCCTTGTTAAGTAGAAAAGCATCTATTGTATTAAAACTAAAAGCTTCTTATCCAGTTTTTATCACCTCGTTTTAGCAGTTTGTCAGCCATGCTTGGACTATTAGTAACAAAAGCAGCTGATCTCAAATGTACTTGGCAATTAGCCATTTCCCAAACTCCTGGGTCTAGTAGCGCGAATCCCATGTTGGAGGGACAAGAAATATGGCAGCACACATTTTAATTAAATATTTAATGTAATATAAGGTTATAACCATGAACCGTTAAAAAAAAATAAACACGTTATTTATCATTTACAGTATGCCTGAACTAAAAAACAATTTCCGCTTAGACTAAGAAGCGTCCCTCGGCGTTTGGCCTCGGACTGCTACTGAGACCTCGGGAAAATATTTTTTGCTATTAAATAGTTGGGTAATTTGACATAGAATAGTATCAAGACAATACCAACAACTTCCTTTTGCGTACTGCTGTAAAATGATTAAATTTCCTTCTGAAAGTAAATCTTATTTCCCTTCTGTCTTTCCAGGTGTCACTATTGCCAATATTACGCGCTCCGGCGTTGGACTAATATCGGTTGATAGTGCTTATGGTGTAAAAGTTGAATGGAATAATGTACATAATGTGAGAGTGACAGTGTATGGTCGCTATATCAACAAAACATCAGGTTTATGTGGAACGTTTAATCGAAATCCTGCGGACGATTTCTTGACAGCAAATGGCGCAACTGTAGACAATGTAGTAAACTTTGGAAATTCATGGAAAACTGATTCTTGCTGTGACGATGCAACAGATGTGCCACATCCATGTTGGACGTCCCCTGACCGAAACGCGACTGCTACAGCCAACTGTTCAGCTTTGTTAACTTCTCCATTCAATGTTTGTGCAAGCCATGTTGATCCAGTCTCAGGGGGTTATATTCAGGACTGTGAATATGATGTATGTGGCTGTGGCGATGACCCTACAGTTTGTCTATGTCAAGCAATAGAGGCCTATGTCGCTGATTGTGCTTCGTATGGTGTAAACATTGACTGGTTGAGTGGTAATCGATATCGACAATGCAGTACGTCACAGCTGCATGAGTAACTTTGTAAATTCTACTAAATGATATTATACTAGGGATAAAATAATGATAAGATGGTTCATATTGTTTGGAAAAGTAACAGTTACACCCTGAGTAAAACCATTCACACACAGGAAAGAACCAACTACACATGCATGTGTATAAAAAAAATGCACAGTTCGAGAATGTTCACTAAATTGCAATTTGCAAGTTCTGCAAAATGTTTGAAAACTTCAATCTTGGCCAAAAGTTGGTAGAACGACAAAACAAATTCGCAACTTTTATAAAAATATAAAAATTATATATATAAAAATTATATATATAATTATATATAAAAATTTGCACAGAAATTATTCACTAAAGTGCAAATTCTGCAAAATTTATGCAAACTTTATGCAAGCATGGGTAGTTTAGTGCAGCAGGGTTTTCAAAAATCACTTTAAAAATGGCTTGCGCACGAATATTGAAGGCTTAAAACGCAATTTGAATTCATATAGGGTGCAAATTTAGGAGTTGTTTTATGAACTATTGAAATATTAGGCAAGTTGATGTAGATTAAGCCCAACGCACGACCTCTAAAACTTCGATAATTTTAAAATTTTTGTAAAGAGTATGTAAGAAATCAATCATGCATAAAATCAGTTATGCGTGCGATGAATTATGCGCAAAAAGGCTACTATAGGAGAAAATATTAACGCATGCTCTTGAAAATTTACTCTTCAAATAATTTGCCCAAACATTTCAGAGTCCCCTCAAGTTAACATGAATTTTAACGATTTTAATTATCTTCTAATTTAGGTTCTCCATGTGCCAGTGCTCCATGCTGCAATGGTGGGACTTGTTCAAATAATGGATCATCATTCTTTTGCTCATGCCCTGTTGGATATACTGGTGACCGCTGCGAAACGGAGGGTAAATATTTTCGAGAAAGTACTACATGTAATTTTTCTCCTTCCCATTTCTATCCCAGATAGGATTTTTTGGAATTGTAGTTTGTGTCATCACTAACAGTGCAAGGACTTGTTAATTTTCAAATATACACGAGAATTCCGTGATATAGTGCTTGAGAAATTAGCAATGCTCATGCAGCAATAATCTAGAAAATAGATTCGCGATTGAGTCTCCAGATAGGTGCGGGTGGTTTTTGCGGGAAACACAGTAATTTTAAAAAATACAAAATCACCGTAATCATCGAACATCCTAAACATTTTCAAAATTGTTTATCTCTACGCTTCGACTGGAGTCACCACCAGGAATTCCGTAATTATATTACAGAACACGAGAAATTAATATGAGAGTGTCTAAGTCAGTTACATAGTGAAATCTTATCAGCTCTTTAGAGGCTTCTCATTCCATGGTTAAGATGAGGTTTAGTCTACGTATTGCAATGGATTGTCTCAATAGAAGTAGTGACGAGGGGTCAGCTCTTATCAATTATTTCACCGAATTATTAAAAATAAGCTCAGATAATAAAAAGATATTGGATGAGGTTTTTTGTGATATTCAAAACCGATTTAAGACGAGTTTAATTATACTTATACCAAGAACTTGAAATTACAGGATATTACAAAAACAGAATTCAATATAACTGTTTTATTATACATTGCATTTTCACTTTTTAATAAGTCTTTCGACAAACAGTGATATATTTGTCACACAAAATTAAACAACGTTTGGTTCTCAAATTAAAAAAGCGAATAAAAATGGAAGAAATCTCATTTACCTACCAAAGCTTCAATAAAATGTCAAAAAAGTCTCCTTTTTGTTCGAAAAACATTGAAAAAACACCATTCGTTCATGTTGTTTTTTCTTGTTTTAATTCGTGTATTTAAAAGTGGAATGATAATCCAAGTGAGAATAAATTTACACTATTTAAGGCATACTGTAATCAGGAAAGGTTGTGAAAAATGCAACAGTATATAGTAGAGGTGTGCAAATACGATCCGAAATCGATCCGAATCGGATTCGTTCGGATTTCGGAACCAACATATTCATTTCGGATCGGATCGGATTGATAAAGTTGTTTCGTAGTCGGATCCGATGGGACTTCGATATCCAAAATAAAATGAATTAATTATCCACGCATTATCGCAAGAATTAATTATCCATGCATTTATGAAAGCATTATCGCGATTGTCGCTGCATTATTTGTTTGATACTTCAATTGGACGCCACTTTGTCAGCTTCTTGACATATATTTCTTGCTTTTATATTTATTTGGATAAATTTTTCAACTTGAATAAGAAATATATTTTATTAAAGAATTCTTCGGATCGGATCGGATTGGATTCTTTATCAAAACTCGGATCGGGTCGGATTCGGATTAGACAATTTCGGATCGGATTTTAAACATTAGCCAATTGTCGGATTATAAACGTCCAATCCAATCCGATGCAAACCTCTAGTATATAGGTCCTCTAGTAGGAATCGAATCTACGCCGCTGCGATTCCGGTGCAGCGCTCTAACCAACTGAATTACAGATTCCAGTTTTCAGGCCGCAACCGTATGTCCATGTACATGTACTGTAGATTTTTTATATAAAATCTATCGTAACGTATCAAATTGGTGCTCCTAACTTGCAAAATAGAGCTGGGAAGGATCGACTTTGAACTATTGAATATTTCATTACTCACTTCTTTTTTACAAAATCAAACAGTTAAAGCGACATGTCAAGCAAGAGGTGATCCACACTACTCGACATTTGATGGAAGACTTTATGATTTTATGGGAAGATGTGAATATGTTCTGGCGAAAGACAGTGTAAATAACAAATTTGAAATAAGACAAGTGAATGAACCTTGTGGAAATGGAGAATTTTCCTGCACAAAATCACTGACAGTAATTTTCCCAAATGTAACTATCCAACTACTGCGGGGAAGTGTGGTGGTAAATGATTCGAAAATTGATTTGCCTCTATCTTATGAATGTAAGTTCTTTTAATAACTTTGATACCGGATATATGGTTTAATTTTTGACGTTCCGGTTATACATTTTAAATTTATAGTAGAATATATCCAGCCAGTTCAACGGCACATCCCTTCATTTGTGAGAGCGTTTATTTGAAAAGGAATTTAATGATAATATTTGTTTGGAGTGGTCCTACCTTATTCGCAACAGAATAATATCTTATGAAAGTTGTTTCTCTTATTATACTATTTTATACATGATTCTTAATAAGCAAAGGATCCAAGAAATTAAATGCATTTATATGTTCTGCTGTTGAATAGTTGGGTATTGTGACGTAGAATAATGTTAACATAGTACCAACAACTCCCTTTTCGGCACTGCTGTAAAATGCTTAAATTTGTTGAATTTCTTTCTGAAAGTTAATATTATTTCCCTTCTGATTTTATAGGTGTCACTATTGACAATATTACGCGCTCTGGAGTTCGAGTAACATCAGTGGATAGCGATTATGGTGTAAAAGTTGAATGGAATAATGTACACAATGTGAGAGTGACAGTGTATGGACGCTATATCAACAAAACATCAGGTTTATGCGGAACTTTTAACCAAAATCCTGCGGATGATTTCTTAACAGCAAATGGAACAATCGTAGAAAATGCAGTAAACTTTGGAAATTCATGGAAAGCTGATTCTTGCTGTGACGATGCAACAGATGTACCATATCCATGTTGGACTTACCCTGACAGAAACGCGACTGCTACAGCCAACTGTTCAGCTTTGTTAACTCCTCCATTCAATGTTTGTGCAAGCCTGGTTGATCCAGTCTCAGGGGGTTATATTCAGGACTGTGAATACGATGTATGTGGCTGTGGCGATGACCCTACAGTTTGTCTATGTCAAGCAATAGAGGCCTATGTCGCTGATTGTTCTTCATATGGTGTGAACATTACCTGGTTGAATGATGATCGATATCAACAATGCGGTATGTCACAACTTTATGTGTAACTTTGTAAATTGAATTAAATGTTATACTAGGGATAAAATAAACATAAGATTCATAGTCTATATTGTTTGGACAAGTAACCGTTACACTCTGAGTAAAACCATCCACACACAGGATGGTGTATAAGAAAATTGCACAGGTTGAAAATGTTCACTAAACTGCAAATTCTGCAAAATTTGTGAAAACGTTATGCAAACATGGGTAGTTCGGGGTCTGTCAGTATCTTTACAACTAAGATTATTTTGAAAAGTAAATTTTCAGTGCAGGAGGGTTTTCAAAAACCGCTTTGAAAAATGCTTGTGCGCAAAAACGGACGGCAAATATAGAGTACAAATTTGGAAGATGATTTACGAACTATCGAAATATTAGACAACTTGAAGTACATTAAGTCCAACGAACGACCTCTAAAACTTCGATAATATTTTGATTTTTGTAAAGAGTATGTAAGAAATCAGTCATGTATAAAAATAGTCATGGGTACGATGAATTATGCTTGAAAGGCTACTATGGGAACAAGGAGGAATTTCGTTCTGGACCAATGAATGCATGGCATTTGTTGACAATTTTGCTCGAAGCCAATCCGAATGCGTAATTGCTCACTACTTCCGGTAAAAACATACATTTGAACAGAAAATTTAGGGTTTAAATAAAGCTTCGAAGGGGTCAGGATTTTTAATTTTTTTATTGGATTTAAACGCGACAAGGTAAAATGAGAAATTCTCTAAAAATTTGCCGCTGGGATTTGCGTTTTATTGCCTAGTTTTAAAGTTATCGCTGGGATTTGCATCGAACAGCGGCGAATAAAATGCGCGAAAGTTCGAATGCCGATAGGTAATAAAACACAAATCCCAGCGGCAAAATTTTAGAAAATTTCTTATTTTACCTTGCAATTGTGACGTTGAATTCAATCAAAACATTAAAAATCATGACCCCCTCGAAGCTTTATTTAAGACCTTAAATTTTCTGTTCAAAAAATGTATATTATTACCGGAAGTAGCTTTCTGTGCTCGCAGGGAAACTACGTACAGTAACCAATTACGCATTCATACTGGCTTGGAGCGAAATTGTCAACAATTGCGCTGATTGGTCGAGAACGAAATTCCCCCTTGTTTACTATGGGAGAAAGTTTTTGGAGGTCGTGCATAAGACTTAATTAATGTATATCAAATTGTCTGGCACTTTGATAGTTCATAAAACACCTAAATTTGCATCTTATGAATTCAACTTGCGTTTAAAGCTTTCATTCCATTTTTTTGGGCAAGTCGTTATTATAATTAGGTTTTTGAAAACCTACCTGCATGCACTCGAAAATTTACTTTTCAAAATAATTTGCCCAAACATTTCAGAGTGCCCTCCAGTTAACATAAGTTTTAACAATTTTAATTCTTTTCTAATTTAGGTTCTCCATGTGCCAGTGCTCCATGCTGCAATGGTGGGACTTGTTCAAATAATGGATCATCATTTATTTGCTCATGTCCTGTTGGATATACTGGTGATCTCTGCGAAACGGAGGGTAAATATTATTTTCGAGAACGTACTAGATGTATTTTTTCCCTTTTCCATTTCTATCCCAGAAAGGTTTTTTGAATTGTGATTTGTGTCATCACTAACAGTGCAAGGACTTCATGATAATGCTTGCGAAACTGGCAATGCACTGCAATTCTCTTAAAAATAGATTTGCGCTTGAGTCTCCAGATAGGTGCGGGTGGTTTTTGCAGGAACCACTGAGTATTTTTTACAAAATACGAAATCATCGTAACTCCGAACATCCTAAATATTTTCAAAATTGGTTATTTCTACGTTTCGACTAGAGTGTTGTCACCACCAGGAATTCTGTAATTATATTTCAGAACATAGATAATGTGGATAAATATGAGAGTGTCTATGTCAGTTACATAGTGAAATATTATTAGCTATTTGGAGACTTCTCATTCCATGGTTATAAAATTAAGTTTAATTTGCGTATCGCAATAGACCTTATTCATAAATCGTGATGAGGCCGGAAAAACGGAAAAACGCGGGAAAATTGACAAAATGGTTTTTTTTGCTGTCGGCTATGGCAGCTTTATTTCGTGAATATTACGGCTTTTTTCGAAAATAATATCTATAAAACTGATCTTGAAAGTTGAAAAAAATACTTCTGAGAAAATATAACATGATATTTAAAACAAAAGATGCTGGAGTCTATCGAAAAAGGAAACCTTTGACTTTGTATTATTGCCAAGTTTATATGGGCAAAACAAACAACCAACAAGGCTACAAAACGTCTATACAACACCACAATCGTAAGAAATATGAAGCTATTGTTGAAGAAATAGAATTACAACTCACTCAGGTAACGTAGCCTTCATTTTTTAAACTTGTAAGCTGCTTGCAGAATGTTATCGAGCCACAGCCATAGTTCATATTTTTCCGTACGAATCAATAACATTTGACGTTCTCTTGTGATTTTTGACTGTTGTTTTCTTTCATATTTGTGTCAAATTCGAAAAGTTATACTTTCATTCCATAGTTGTATTGATTGTTCACGGAATAACCTTTATATTGACGTTAAAATCTCAGTAAAATACTGTTTTTCACGTTGTCATTTTTTCCACACAAAAATGGAAGAAAAACCGGTCGCTTTTATAATATACTCGTTTACCGCTTTCGTTGTGGGCACAAAGTCTTAAAATACACACAAAAATCGTTATAAATCGCAAAAAGCAACAAGAAACAAGCCGTTAAAGTCGACACAGTAGCATCTGAATTTGGCTTGTCAAGCAGTTCTCGCTTGTTTTCCCGCGTTTTGTTCCCGTATCCTAGGATACGAGGCCTCGTCACGATTTATGAATATGGTCTATGGATTGTCTCAATAGAAGTAGCGACAAGTGGTCAGCTCTTATCAATTATTTCGCCGATTTGTTAAATATAAGCTCAGAAAATAAACAGATATTGGATGAGGTTTTTGTGATATTCAGAGCCGAAGACGAATTTAATTACACTTCAACTACTCATAAATATTTCATAAACCTTGTGGCAAATCATGTCAGCCATAAAATGACGCGTGGAGTGTATGTATATATATATATATATATATATATATATAGGCATGTTATACATAATATAAGCTTCAATTTAAGGTAAAATTTATGCACAAACTTTTCGCAAAGTGTTAATCATTAATTGCACGACTTGCCCGTGTGATTATTTATTTATTATATGCATGACAAAATCGCTTTCTTTAAAATTCTTATATACTCATAAAATGATAATAAACTCATAAAGGCACATAACTTAAACTAGAACACAAGGTTCAAACTCAAACAACATATTTTAGACGAAGAAAGTCTTCATAAATTGTATTACAAACTTACATAGTCACGTTTCGCTGCATTCCGCCGAGATTATTTCTTAAAATTGTTTCCAGGTATTTTCCACAGGCTCTTTTTGTCATACAATGTTTTTAAACTCATTCTTGTGCCGAAATTTAGTTAAATTCGTCCACATTTGTTATAAATACTTATTTAAAATTCGCTGCCATATTGGATTTTGTTGTTTTGATTTCGCGCTCCCCCCAGCCATCACGAAAATCATTAATTGCACTCCCGGAGAGTGCAATTAATGAAATAATTGCACTCCTCTTAACCAATTAGATTGCAGTAATTTTGTCATGTATATAATAATAATTATAAAGCAAACAATACAACAAAATTTAAAACAAACTTACCTTCGTTAACGTCGGCGCCTTTGCTCCCTTCTTTTAGCCGATTCTTTCGCCTTTTTTTCTCAAAAAAGCTTTTGAAATTTACAAAATCTTGCCGAAATGAAATATATTTGCAAGAAATCATTAAATCGAGAAATGTTTGCTATTTCGCTGTCGTCATGCATGCAGTCGTTATAATGCAAATTTTAAATTGGACCAATCAGTGTTCGCTATTCATGACAGTCATTTTAAGATCAGTGAGGATGACCACCCACGCACACTATCCCACGGCCGCGATCATTGATAACTTTAGACTTCGCTAATGCTTTCCTTTCCCCGGGCAGCCCCGGGGATAAATAGCCGGGCGGAATTAGTACCCTCGCACGACGCTCCGCGCCGTTGGCTCGGGGACAAAATACGAAATCACCGTAACTCCGAACATTCTAAACATTTTCAAAATTGTTTATTTATAAGTTTCGACTGGAGTGTTGTCACTACCAGGAATTCTGTAATTATATTACAGAACATAGGTATATATAATGTGGAGAAATATGAGAGTGTCTATGTCAGTTACATAGTGAAATATTATTAGCTCTTTGGAGGCTTCTCATTCCATGGTTAAGATGAGGTTTAAGCCCGTTCTCCATTAGGCGAATTTGTTCGCGCGAACAGTAAAAGAGTAGAAACTGATGTAACTTTTTCGCGGTGAATTTTTTCGCTGACCTATCACATTGCCAAGTTTTGTTTTTCGCTTCGCGCGAAAAAATTCGCCTAGTGGAGATTGGGCTTTAGTGTACGTATTGCAATGGATTGTCTCAATAGAAGTGGATAATAAACAGATATTGCATGATGAGGTTTTTGTGATATCCAAAGCTGAATTATGGCAGCTCATACAGCAGCCAATCTTTATCTGATATACAAACTCGAGCCGAAGTTGAGAGTTTCTATATGAGATAAAGATCGGATGCGAATGTTTTAACGTGCTTAAAGAACGACCCATCTTTTAAGTTCGTTTACGAAGTAATTTTAAAAATAAACATTATCTAAGCCGAGAAAATCAAAGCTGAATGATATGTAAATCAGGACAAATCTTTATCGGATTTACAAACATTGATTAAACATTCATTTCTTTTGTATTTTCCTCATGAATTATTAATGAGTTTTTTAAGTACTATAGTTAAAACATTCGTTGTCGTGTTTTATCAGACATAAAACGCTCGGCTGCGCCTCGCGTTTTATATCTGTTAAAACACTCCTACT